GTATAAAATTCCAGGGATAGCATTATATAATTGGCAATTTCCTGTAGATGAATGAATATACTTATGAATGAAAAAAGATATTTTACTTTATAATTTAGCAGAATCGCAATTTAACTTTACTTTCGAAGAAAAAAGTATTTCTGAATAATTTTTCTTGCAATCTTTTTTTTTTCTAATTATTAACTTATGATTTCATTGACATAGCCAATACGTGCAATAATGATAATATCTTATTTTAATAAATATCCAATAAAATAAGACTATAGAAGAGCTATTAAATGTTGTAAGGATAAAATGTGATAACAATAAGTATAGGAAGCAATATAAACGCGTTAATAAAATTAAATTATTAATTGAAATTGTACGAATTGAATTATTGAACTCCGCTTCGAGAATGTAATATTTTATTAATATTGTTGCCGGTGAAAAAATATATATTTATTACAATGTATATGTAAAAATAAATTATTCGTTACTCATCCAATATGAAGTGACTATGAGTAACAATACAAAAATGATAAGTTTGTTTTATACGTTCACATTTCTATTTTCTCGCAGCCAACATTGTTTCGATTAAAAAAAAATACACAAAAGGGCTGCAGATAGGCTTCGTTTAGGTCTAAAGATAAGTTTAGATAAAGAAAGGTCTCAAGATTACGAAAAAAATATTTTCTGATGATGAATCATTTTGCACAGGATAGACCGAAATTACACCGTGATATAATCTAGGAAGACTATTGCGGCGATGAATGATGATATTGATGACGAATACACGTTACTAGGAAAATATGTTACATGGTTATCGTTATATTATTATTGTAAAGTGATAAGGTAAATGTACCAGTTAGTGGACATGACCCAATTATTGAAAATGAGAAAAATTTTTAATATTAAGTTTTTAATGATACAACACATTTAACTCTAAATTTGTTATTTATAAAAATTTAATAACGAATTTATTTAGAGTCGTACATATTATTAAAAGCTTAATTTAAAAATTGTTTTTATTTTGTCCAATAATTGTGTTATATCCACTAACTGTCATATTTACCTGTGCATTATTTTACGAAGAGTTCTTTAACTGAAAAAATATTGTCTATAAAAATATCTTTCTATAAAAAGTTATTTTATTTTTAATTGATAAATCTTTAAACTCTGATTTCGCAAATTACATAGGTAGTGTTACAAAAAATAATTTCCAATTTGTCTGTTTAAGCTAAAAATAGAATTCTAATTGTAAAAACTCTACTTTCTGTATCTTCGTACATTTCTTTACATAGGACTTAGATAGATGATATAATTTTTCCAATGTATGTATGATAAGAGAATAAATGATTTTTATATTTTCATTTGCGAAGTTTTTGTCAAATCTAAATTGTTTTTCTGAGACTTCGACGATTAATTTTAATCATACTTAAAAAATTAAAAAAGGACGTTAATTGAAGTACTTCGAAGTACAATTAAATATCATCTTATTTTTTAAATAATATCAAGTAAATTTAGTAATATAAATTAATATTTAAAATGAAAGAGCTTCATGGTCCTTCGATAAACATTTTTTGCCAAAGATATTAATTAAAATTCCGTACTAAAAAATTAATTGTTTTTCATTTATAAAAGAATTTCCAAAATGAAAAAATACGATGTTTATGAAATTATGTAGTCGTAAAAAGATTGCGATAAAAACATCCTGGAAAATTTCTCAAAATTTTTTCGGTGGAGTGATTATATTTTTGAAAAGACTAATGATTAAACCTCTCTCTTTCTCTTTCCTTTTACATTTATTTTTATTTTTACTTGTACAATCATAAGTAAACTATTATACAAAGAAACAGTTTGTGCTCTGTAGTAATTGAAACAATTTTATAAGTTTCTTAACATTATTTTGAACAATACTAAAATAAATATCAAAATGTCTGACGAACGCAAGATCAAGTCACAATTTTATAAAAGAAGCGAAGAGGACCTCTTTATTATTTATAAATTAAAATATACTTGAATACGAAGGGCAGGAAATCGAAAGAATTTTTGAAAATTTGTATTTAAAATTTTTATACACATTTTTGACATTTTATTTGTCGAGAACGCCCAGTGCTCTCGATCACCGACTGCACGTACTCGGTATCCTTTTATTTATTTGTCAGGAGACGGACGTCGCTGCGCATGTGGAGCATCCTGGCCTGCGCGGGCTGCATCGACCCTCAAACCCATTTCGTACTCTCCAGCAGTACATGCCTAGCCGGATCCCATCGTGCCGGGATAATCGGGAAATAAGTGAAACGATATCGTATCGAATTAGCACGTTAAGTTCACCGTTTAACATTTCGTCTTCGAAGAAATCAGATATAGAGAGAAAGAAAGAGAGACCTGCATGTCTTGATAAGCCGGAAAAGGAGTCGCGGACATCCGAGCATTTCTGATTACGTTATCTACCTTACCAAAGTATAAGCACTGATACAACTTTCGTTGATTTATTTTTTCAGGACATCTCTTGTCAAAAATTAAAAGTTAAACAGCACATTGCGACCATAGATTTGGTCTCGCGAGAGTGACAAAAAAGAGTTCTTTGACATTTTGTGTGTGCATTAAAAAGAAATATTAAAAAATATGTGGATGTTGCTTAATTCTTTATCATTAAAGAAAGACAAAATAATAATTAGAAACGTTTTGTCTTCCTTTTTATATTTTTCTCTTCATCTAGCTTTATTGTTTCGAATGTTAAAAATTAGTGCTATATAAAATGTAACACTAAAGTTAGTTTATTTGATTTGAGTTATGATTTACTTTAGATATATTATGTACAAAAGTAATTTGAGTTTTATCAAGTTGTTTCAGTATAACGTAATATAATTTAATATTTATTATTCAAGTAATGGGTGATTTATGGATATAATTCAGTCATTTATAATTGCAGAGACAAGCTTTAAATCCTGTCACTATATCGTAAACTGTCCGAGAAACGGTATCCCACAAGAAAATACTAAATAATGAATTTTAATTTAACCAAGATTAAATGAACAATGTTTTTTATTCCGCAATTTGAATTATTTTAATTAACAAAATGTATTTGATATAATTTCTATCATTCATTAAATCAGCAATTATCATCAAAAATTATTAAAATATATATTGTATTTATTATTTCATTTGTTTTAAAAATTAAATCGTTTAATAATGAAAAAATTAATACAATTAATGAATTTAATGAAATGCTTCGCGAATTATTTTAAGTGAATTTATTATTAACAAATGAATTTATTTTAAGCTCTTTCGCTGAAGTCGTTGTGCTCTTGTTTTTTTTCAACACGTAAATGGTTTAGCAACAACTTTCGTTAACGTTCTCATTATATTCGAACTGTGCTGTATATAGGTCAGTAATTTGCCCGATAATAACTTGAAATTTTTACAACGCAGCAATTCTGACGCAAGTGTTCATCGGTCTCAGTTTGCAGACAACGTTTACATTAAGATATATAACGAAGCCAACTCTTAAAGGCACATATATTATAGATAATAGAAAACGTTCTAGTTATATAATTTTCCAAAATATGTATGTACAGCAAAAAAACATATGTAACATTTTGAATAATTATATACTCTAAATATGTCACAATTAAAATTTTCGTACAATTTTAATGTAATTATTTGAAAATGCTTTCGACTCTTAATAAGCAAAATACTCATTTAAATACATTTTAGAATATAAGTGCAGAATACGATACAAATAATTCTAAAGACACGTTAAATAAATGACAAAAACAAAAGAGTTTATTTTTAATTATTTTAAAATGATTAAATCTTATTTCATTAAGAGACGTGGCTCGTAAAACGGAATCCCGACATATTCCGTTCGTTCCGTTTTGCTATAGCTACGTACAGTACATAATATATAGTCGTAATAGCTTGCTCGAAATCACCTGCTCTTTCGCCCGCTAATTCGTTCACACGCACTAATTGCTTCCTTCTTGATCTCCTTCGTGTCGAGTTGCTTCGCGTTGCCTCACCGAGCACGGCGTTCATACGAGTCGTTTCACGAGAGTGCCGTCGTCTACAGAAAGATATTCTTCGTTATAAAATATTAAAATTCCTACAAGGATAATCTTTCTGTTTGGATCTTTTTACTTATTGAAAAATATCGATTCAAACGTTTCACAAAGCAAACTAGGAAATGAAGTCTTTTTCACAATATTTTTTTGTAATTGATGGTAACAAATTGATGGTATTAAAGAATTCTAGTATTGATAAATATTCTGGTATTGATAAAAATAAATTATGATGAAACATGGCTTGAAGAAATAATATAATTAATATATTAAAACTTATAACTTTTTTCTTATTTGTTATTTATTGTGGACGAACAAGTCCCTGAACCGAAAATCTAAGAAGCTTATTTGATAATTCTCTTCAAACCTTACAACCTTTGTCTGAAACATTTTTTTTCAAGAATGCGTTGTTCTCGAGATAGTTTGTGTTTAAATTAAAATGACCAAAACATGTTCCGGCTCAAGTCGGGTACAAAACCCATAGAATCCTAAAGTTTTGACTATCTAGAATAACTATTTGAAACGTGATTTTTCGACGGGTAATATTAGTTTTTTAATATTATTTTTGCAATGTAGCACTTTTTGTCAGAGTTATATTGTTTATTTCATCCTACTTCTGATTCGTTTGAGAATTTTTTTCTAAAAAGATATCATTACTTGTGTTTTATCTTTCGCTTATGGCAGATGATAATTTATCTTCTATTTGAACACTCTCTGTTAAAATTAATAGAGTAACTGATAAATTACTCTGTTAATTATAATCTTAATTTGTATAGATTGGTAATAGATCTCTTATTGATTTGCAAAAGACACTCTGAAAACGTAAAATCGATTGTTTAATGAATGATATTGCAGATAAGTGTATCGACAATTGTTGCGTTTAAAATCGCGTGATGACGTGAAGATAGAAACGGTAGAAACGAGAAAGCAAGAACGTTTTCAGCGAACACTAAAATCGCGAAAGTGAGATAAAAAAAACTGTCTCGATGGTTCTTCGTGGCTTATTGGCTCCTGCGGCAGCTCGTTGGAGGAGAAGTAAGGTCGCGAAAAGGTAAAATGAGCGACGCGACTGATAGATTATTGAATTATTCAATAAATATATTTTATTCTTCTTTTACTTTATTTATATTAGATTCATGATTCTACACTATCAAAAGCTGAAATTAAATAAGGAAAGACTCCACTTAAATAATTCCATTTTGACGGAGAACATTCAGAAGCGTTAACAGCAATTAATTGGTTTCATTATAATTATTATCGGTTAAATCAAATCGTCAAACAGTCAAAATGGAATGTTTTCGTTTTAGTTAATAGATTTCGATCGAACATAAGCAACTCGCGTTTATGACACACAATTACATGCGAAGGCGCACGTCAATCAAGTGTATATCGCTTAAATAGATCACTGGGGTACGCCGCTGAAAGACCCGGATCGTATTGCGTTAATTGATATCCGCATTAATTCAACCCGTTTTGTTCCAGAAGCCAGAACGCCGCCTGGGATAGCGTAAATGCGCCTGTCGGCCAATTGGGATTGTCACGTTATGGACCGCAGGTGATGAGCGTGCTGTGTTTATGCACCTCTAGCGTCCACCAATCTACCCGTAACGTCACGCAGGCCGGCAAGATACTCCCGAGTCCGCCGTCAAACACCCTTTGCGAGCAGCGAATAACGCCCTCGCAGGAAATACCCACTGACGAGCTGGCTCTATTAGCTAAGCTGGAGGAAGCCAATAGGTGAATAATCAAGTGACCTGTCGCTTGATGCTACTGCCAAATCGTACATCTTTCATAAGGATCGAACAATTCTTGCATGGACTGATAACTCAAATCTTATCTAACAAATGCCATTTTCCACTTTGACTGACATCTTCCACTTTCCAAAATTTATAGTAAATTGGATATCCTTTGCATGTACACATATTTGGATAGATTGCCTGGATTTCCTTTTGTTTCAAATTTAGAGTAGAAATGCTAAATGTTAATTTTGCTACGCATTTTGGCTTGGAAATGATGCATAGTAGGATGCAGAATAAGGCTGCACTTTTAACTCAGTATCGAAAAATATGGGAAAAGACGTAAGTTTGGTTTTTTTTTATTTCCTTTATAATGTATATAATTAATTAAAACACGTAACTTACACAATAATTACTTACTGATTTGTACAAATATCTATATTGCTATGTAAATCTACGCATTATTCTCCATGGAACGATAAAATAAATACAAATAAAAATCATAATCTATGATTTTATTAATTTTAGGCTGATCGAATCAGATGCAAAGTCACTGAATTCTCTCCAGAGCAATCATAGCAGAAAGGGCTCCGATACATCTCAAGTGTCTGTGGCGTCGGGGGGCAGCGGAGGCAACGGCGATGCTGCGCCCCGACGCCATCCAGCCGACGGTGAAGAGAATACGTGGACTCTCTGGGGTCATATAGTGGCTGACTGGGATTATAATTGGAAGAAACGGAAAGAATTTGTTAAGGAATTGGTTCGTCAAGGCATACCTCACCATTTTAGGTAACACATATATTATGTATATTCTGTTGAAAGATAATATAAATATATTAAGGCTGTGTAAAAGCTTTTTGGATCTGTAGTGCAAAAATAAGGATGGGGCTCTTTATCTGTTCATGAATTTAATTTAAATATAGAAGTCGTTTAATTAGGCAAAATATTGCATATTATATATACGATATTTATAAAAACAAGATTTCATTAAATTTACATTATTATTTTATGAATCATAGCTTGAATACGAAATTAAATTGAATAAAAATTAATTTGGATGGAAATAACAAAAAATAATTATATCTTAATTGAAATTTTTTTCGAGGCTCCTTAATGCTGAGAATTTTAGTACGATACCACAGCACCCCCTTTTGCACTGCCTTGATAAATATTATCAAAGTCATAACCGTTTATCAGTATTATCTAGGTCAGGAAGTTACATATATGCATTTTTTAAATTAAAATTTAATATAGATTGTATATTATTTTAGGGGCATTGTCTGGCAATTATTAAGCGGTGCCCATGATTCTCCAGTTAAGAAGCAATTTGCCGAATACATTAAGGCAACATCAGCTTGTGAAAGGATAATTAGAAGGGATATCGCTAGGACGTACCCAGAGCATGACTTTTTTAAAGAAAAGGATGGTTTTGGGCAGGAGAGTTTGTTTAACGTTATGAAAGCATATAGCCTACACGATCGCGAAGTAGGATACTGCCAAGGTTCAGGATTCATAGTAGGATTACTTTTAATGCAGGTAAAAAGTATTAACAATATTTTCACAACAAATTATAAAATAGAAAAGTATATAAAAGCAAGAAATTTATCTATAAATTCATTTTTTGTGAACATGTATTTTTATCAATTTTTTATTCTACGTGAAAAAAGAGAAAACATACGTTATTTGAATACTCTTTTATTGTAGCAAATGCCAGAAGAAGAAGCTTTTGCTGTACTCGTAGCACTAATGCAAGAGTATCGCTTGCGGGATATGTTCAAACCAAGTATGGCTGAATTAGGAGTGTGCATGTATCAACTGGAACATTTAGTTGCTGATGCACATCCTGAACTTCATGCTCACTTCACGGCCCAAGGTTTCCATACGTCGATGTATGCATCTTCTTGGTTTCTTACACTATTTACTACAGCGCTAAGCCTTCCCCTAGCATGTCGTATTTTTGACGTCTTTCTATCGGAGGGGATGGAGATTATCTTTAAAGTTGCATTGGCAATGCTGCAGTTAGGCAAAGAAGATTTGCTCAGTTTGGATATGGAAGGCATGTTGAAGGTAAAATTTTATTTGAAAAATTGTTACTTATATAAGTAGTTTCAAGAAATCACTGTTGATAAAATTTAATTTTTAGTACATTTTATATTCTTAAATAAGAATATAAAATTATATGCATATACGGTCGTTTCATTTAACAGATGATTAAAACAATTTTTTTTGCAGTTTTTCCAAAAGCAATTGCCTGGGAAGGCCGAAAAAGATCCTGATGGCCTCATGACGCTCGCATATGGAATGAAAATCAATCCGAAAAGAATGAAGAAACTAGAAAAAGATTACACCATTTTAAAGATGAAGGAGCAAGAAGAGATGGTCGAGTTACGCAGGCTCAGAGCAGAAAACAGATTGCTTAGGCAAAGAACTGAACTTCTGGAAGCGGAATCCGCCGAACTAGCTGATAGATTAGTTAGAGGTCAAGTGTCACGCGCCGAAGAGGAAGAGACTGCTTTCATAGCTCAAAGAGAATTGGCAGCGCTTCGTCATTCACATCTCGAGACCAGCCATCAACTCGAACAAGCTCATGAAGAATTGAGATCATTATCGGTTCTTCTTGAGGAGAACGTAACATCTAGACAGTCATCACTAGACGAGATAGTAGTGAAACAAGAAGCCTTATCACAGAAAGAGGAGATGATACAATGTTTGCAAGAGGAATTGGTTAGAGTTAGATTACATGAGGCAGAAAACGATGCATTGATTAGAGAACTCAGAGGAAGGATACAAGAATTAGAACAAGATAAGAAGACTCTGCGCGAATCGACGCCAGACAATTCCGTAGCTCATTTACAGGAAGAACTTATTGCAGTTAAGCTTAGAGAAGCAGAAGCCAATTTATCTTTAAAGGTAAAGTCTGCCATGTCCCTACATAATCTTGTTATTTTTTATGAGTTTTACATTAATATTAGATAGATTAATATTAAACACATAATAATATATTACACAGGATCTGCGGCAGAGGGTTATGGAGTTAAGTGCAGCTTGGCAGAGGCATCTACAAGAACATCGGTCTGCTCAATCAGTGCCTGCCGCTGATTCTACGCCAAAGAAATTGCTTTTTTGGGAAAATCGGGGTCATGAAGTACAGAAGTTTGAGGAAGATTTAATGACGACCAGAATTCGGGAGATGGAAGCGTTGACTGAAGTTAAAGAGTTACGACTTAAAGTTATGGAGCTTGAAACTCAAGTGCAAGTAGCAACTAATCAGCTCCGTAGACAAGACGAGGGCGGAAAAGTACTTAAGGACGAATTGGAAGCTGCATTAGCACGAGAGAAGGATCTAGCTGCCAAATTTAGAGAACAACAGCATAAGTATTCCGATCTGGAATCGAAAATGAAGGACGAAGCTATGATGGCCAGGATACGTGATGCCGAACACGCGCAGTATGTGGCAGAACTTACGCAGAAAATATCTCTTCTCGAATTGAAGGTTACTTCATATGTGTATTATTAATAAACGTTTCTGCTAAAAGACTTAAATATGTAACGTCTAATATTTTTATAGAATGAAGAGATGCATGCGGAAGGTGAACTTAGGAATAATTTAGATGACAGTGAGAAAGTAAGGGAGCTTCAAGATAAAGTTGCTGAATTAAAAGCCGAGGTAGGTAAAATTAAAAAATTCACCTTGTTCATTGTATTAACAAAAGCAGTATCTTGGAATATTGCAGTAAGGGGTGAACTATGTCTTATGGTATAAAATATATGTATATTCTTGTAATGTAATGTATATTAAGGGTAACTCGATAAGTTCATTCTATGTAGGCATAATTATATAAGCAGATCATACATAAGAAATATTTTATCATTGCGCAACAGTCACTTTTCATACAGCACACAATATCTGTGATATTTTATTATATACATATATCTTTTGAATATTTTCACCGTGTTTAATAAAATATGACATTTGTTTATAAATATGAAAATACAATAATGATAAAATGCAATAATTTTTATTATATATAGATACTTCCCGTTATATTTTTAGATAAATATAGCAAATACTGTAATAAGAATTTTTATTACAGCTAAACAATAAGCAAAAATATTTTGAAATAATGATTCGTAAATATTTAAACTTTAATAACTTTATTAATAAATTAATTTTATAATTATACTTAATCGCAATTGCAGTTTTTAGCAATAGTTACAATTCTCTAGATATTTTATGAAATCCTGTTTGGGGATACAATGAAAATACTTTTCACTGTTTTTTCTTTTTAAAGCACTGCATTATTATGTGTTCTTATTTCTGATTCTACAAAATATATGTGATATTGCATTTTATAACATAATTTAATTATGATAAATAGATTACAATTACTTACTGATATTTCTTTATATACTATTAACCTCGATAAGCCAAATATTTATGTCGTTTAAGTGTGATATATATATATATTATCTAAAATTGTATAAAAAAATCACATCATACATTCCTAACAAGTGTATTATATGTAAATTGAACGTTTTGGTTTTTAATGTGCTACCACATACTGCACTCAAACTATAAATTGCGCCTACTGTATGCAAAAGACATTCCACTTTGCTAAGTTCATAAACATAAAGATATCGTAACTCATTATTGATGTCATACACGTACAAAATGCACAGATCGCACCTCTTACTGCAATTTAACGCTAATCAACACGCTTCATAACGTCGTCGCTTCTGGTGGACTGTAGAGAGAAAAATGTTTGCAATTACTGTAAACAGACTAATGTCTGTTTTGTCAATAAGTATTTAAAATGTATTTCATTTCTTAACTTATTTATTTTGTTGCCGCTGCTTTAATAAAAAAAGACATATAACTAACAAATTAACTAATGTATCTATTAACAATAAGAAACTGGTACTTTATTGTCCAATGAATATATAGGCGTGATTTTTTTAAGCAGGATACGCACGATCTTGTTGCGTGTGAAGAGATAATGTTTACGACAGTGATTGTCATTATGTAAAGATATCAAGCGGTAACTAATACTAACCAGAAGAGACTTATCGTTGTTGCAAAACTAACCCTCTATTGCTGTGTTATCTCTGTCTCTCAGTTCCCCACGCCAATCACCAGCCCGGAGACTGAGCCTTGGCGCTGGCTCGAGTAAGTCTTTACCCATGCGTAAGCATCATTTTCGTCTCCATATTTGTGCGTGACATGATGTTTCTTTTACTGTAGATGAATCTGACATTATAGTTTTGTAATTATTGCCTATGTTTTCCATCTAGGATTCCGTTTGGAATTCTTGTTATATTTATAATTGTAGTGCTCATTTACATAGTGAATAAACAGACTTAGATCTGCAATTCATAGTTATATAAATAATAGAGTCATTATACATGTGCATTGTAAGTGTATATTGATATAATCAGTTTCATTTTAAAAACCTAATTAAAAATTCGATTCGAAGAAGAAAAATTGTTTTATGAAAAGCAATGGATTGAACACATTTTATTATTTACTTGTATCGTTTTAGATTTCAATGCTATTATTGTGTAAATCGGTATCGGATACGATTAAATGAATTAAATTAAAATTGAATTAAAATGTGGCTCACTTTCTGTATTATATGTGTGGTGATATGGTATGGCGTGTTCTTCCCGTTTAACTGCATGCTTCTTTAAGATTAAGTTCACTGTTTCGTTCTGATAAACATTCACGGCCGCTGCATTTAGCTCGAAGAAGAAAAGACGCAGAGATGTGAAAGAGACGTGAAAGTTTCGTTAAAGTTCGCAAATGAATGCAATCAAGTTTTGAGTTTTTTTTCTTCAATATATCATTCATTTGCATAATTTCATCAATCAATATGTTAACAAACTTGTATCTATATTAATAAAATAAATTTTATTAATAGAAAGATCTATATATTTTAGAAAATCAGAAAACTTTTAAACTAATTTTTTTTATATCTTTTAAAACTCCTTTCAGAAAAAAGAAGGAATATTTCTATTATTTGATTATTGAACTTAATTGTGAAAAATACATAATGACAATATATTATAATTAATTGTAATTACAATTGTATAAGACATTATAATTGTATAAGGAATAACAATGTATTTTTAGAATCAAAATAATTGCAATAACTGAAATGTTCGAAAATTTCAGACTTATTAGATAGAATTAACTTTTCTTTTAATGATCTGATCTATATCTTGTAATAAGAGTCGAATAAATATTTTCTTTTGCGAAACAAGACATCGCAGACTCTTTCTTTTTTCTTCTTACTTAGAAATGCATTATGCATCACGCCTATCTGTCACAGGTCATGAGACTAGAGAGTTGGAAACAACGATGGACGGGACTCGGCGGACAAACCATGCGAAGTTTTAGCGTCGATACTGAAAGCGAATTGGACGAGCGGGATCTCAGAATTTGCTTGCAGGATCATATCAATACGACCACGCCAAACTCACCTGAGGTATAGAATTCTATGTATACCAAGACCATTAGGCAGCTAAACAATACTCCGTTATCGATACGCGCGAACTTTTTGTTCATCATCGGCTTTTGCTGTAGGAAACGCGTATGCGCTTAGACCGTAACACAAGAGTAGACCGTAATAATCCTGTTTACATGTATTAGTTATTATTAGGCCAAATATAACAAAAATACACGTAGCCGTTGATTAATTATACTAAAATAATAACGAAATAAAACAATGAAACAGTATATAACGATAGATGCTTTCGGTAATCGAAGTAATCTCGATCGTAATCAGGACCCGAAACTATTGTTTATAAAAAATTTGATTACAGTTTACATAATTCGACATGTTAAAATTTCTTCAGAGGGGTTTAACAAAATAATTGTTTTTGTCGTGTGTAATGGCAAGTATTGTTTATTATACTAGCAATATTATTTTTATTATTGTAACATTTTATAGATTACATTACATAGACTATTATAAAGCGTATATTAGTCGTAGTTAATAGCAGAATATTATACAACAAACTATAACTAACACACTTATTTATATTAACCAATAAATGATCGTAATCGTAATTTATGTTTGAAAGAGATTTATAACCGCTTTATGATATTCTTGAAGAACCAACAAAATCTAAACGGTGTAAATTTACATTTGATTGGTCCGTTAAACTAATTCCATTTCGCATTATTGCAAAAAAATATTTTATGTAAAATGTTTCTTAGTTATATATTATACATACGTATTTGTATATATTTTTTCATCTTGTGAATTTTAATTTTAAAAATTAATTTCTTCATGTTAACACAGGACTAATTTGCATCAAATTTTGAATTGGATTAAATCATGTTATTACGTACAGTACTAGACAAAATAAAGTACGCACTCCAAACATTTTCACATTTATGTAAATAACTTGCCAGTCCTGGCAGATAGCATAATGATGAATGAGGTAAAAGAAAGGTCATAACGGTCAGAACGTTAAGATGTTGAACTATTTTAAATGAATTAATTTCAGAAATGATAATTGCGTGCCGATATGGTTGTCGGACTTTCAACGCAATCAAATCTGAAAATATTAATAATCCCCCCAAATTTCCCAACTTAAAAACTGTAATAAACTTATTGCGAAAAATAATGCCTCGGCCGGGAGTCGAACCCGGATCTCTTGCATTCCGTGCGAGCGTCCTAAGCCTTTAGACTATCGAGACCTTAGCATTATTCTTCGCAATAATTGATATATATAGAGAGTTACGCATTTCTCGGCGCGCGTGTATAAACAATAATAAGATTGAAAGACCGCTAATGTTAAACATAATACTTTAAATTAAGAAGCGCAATTATCATTTCTGAAATTAATTCATTTAAAATGAATTTACAATAGTTCAATATCTTAACGTTCTGACCGTTATGGCGCTTCTTAATTTAAAGTATTATGCTGCCTCCTCCATGTTTGAGTGTTTTTTGGATATTTTTACATTGTTATATTTATGTATCTTTCATCATCAACGCCAGTTGTTATTATTTTCATAAACAATGTTGTGCGTACTTTATTTTGTCCATGATAAATTTGATAATAAATGTAACGGACTTGACTATTAAAGGATTTCGAATTGTTTTTGAAATTTTTGTAATCATTATTGCAAAGTAGACTAAAATACCTTCCTTTTACCTCATTCATCATTATGCTATCTGCCAGGACTGGCGAATTATTTACATAAATGTGAAAATGTTTGGAGTGCGTACTTTATTTTGTCTAGTACTGTATATTACTACTTGTCGAAACATAAATTCTTTTAATAATTTTAATGATTCATTAAGATTTTTAAAAAATGCATTCCAATTTCCTTCTATAACCTCTTATCTCGGTATTCTAGAAGAGAAGAATCATCACAGAATTAAGATTAATTTTAATAATTAATCTCTATTTCTTTTATTACCTGTATTTTTGCGATATAAATATAGATTTTTGTAGAAAATTTATATTTATATCGCAGTAAATACAGGACCTAACATATGATATGTGAATATTTCATAATATGTGGAATGTGAATTTGTGCTCTTTTTTTAGCTTTTCGAAAGCTTGATTACGATCTATAGATTATACGAAGGTTATCATAGAGTTTCCGTGACACTCGCAACCGTTTTTATACGCATGATATACTCTGTGTATTTTTTGTAATTCATACCAAATGTAATCGCATTTAAGGAGTTATATATTTAATGCCGAAAACGTGGGGACAGTAATGTATCACCGTTTTTTATAAAAATATGTATTTATATATTATATACATATATGTGTATGCGTGTGTATGTATGTATGTATGTATGTATGTATGTATGTATGTATGTATGTATGTATGTATGTATGTATGTATGTGTGTATGATGAGGAATCATGGCATATGAATCAACGATATTGATACCACACACATATATTGCGTACGTTACTCGAATCGAAATTTAACTATTTAAAAAGATACATTATATTCTTAAACCGGAGAGTATACCAAATTCTTATTATTGTTGTCGTATATATGTATATTATTTGTAACATACTTGACGAATTTCTTAAAAAAAAAAGGAGTAAGAATAATTTTTATGGGTAATATGCAATTTGCGCACACAGTACGAGATGTGTATAGTTAATTAGATGACGATCAATTTTACTAGGAATTGTAAAATCAACCGTAAATTGCCCCAAAAAGAAAAGCGCAAAAGACGTTTCTTTCAATCGATTTAACGATTCTAGATTGTTGAAACCGGACGAGATAATCGGAAGTACTTGTAAAAATTAGCATCCGAGCATAGTTCATTCTTTTATTGTAACTCGGATAATTACTTTCAGCATAAGTATCCGCGTCTTGCTACTTTCTTTTACAGCAAGTCATCTTAGCCTACTTGCAACGCGTCTTCTCTCGCTTGGCCTAAATCGTTACATCCCATTCCTTTGTTGCGTTAAATAACCAGCATTGTTTTAACCATGTCACAGTACGCCGTTAAAACTGTATATTAACGTGCGAATCACGAGTCACTTTTCTCTCGATAGGAGCCCTCTTCGCTTTTCACGCATGCATGTGTGCAAATTAGCATGAGCGTATCGTTAACGAAGTTACGACGGCGGCAAAAACTGTAATAGTATTATTTTTTGATTGTGTGCTTTACGTGCAATTTTTTGCATCGCGCGAATTTAAAACAAAAGGACGAGACGCCAAAATTGATATTAATTAAGGAGCGAACGAAGAACTGTAGGAAACGTGAATATTATTGACCGTTTACGACGTGTCGAGCAATGTATTTATTTGTAAGTAGCACGACGAAGAATAAATGTGCAAGATCGAAGAGAAAGTGACATTTGTATTATATTTCTGAATTTAGCACAGATATCTACGGCGATTCTTTTCCGATTCTGTTGCACGTCACAGTTGCGCTATTAAAAATTATTATGCTGTCATTACACTGTTACTAGAGAGTCGATTTAATCACTATGAATTCTTGGCGACGTAGAATAACGCGGTAAGTTACGACGTGCGAACCGCGTCCTAGTTCATAATATATCTATCTGTAGTTTCTGCGTCATTGGATCTGTGTATATAGACTGTCCTAGACCTGCCGAGCTGTCTTTCAGACTCGAATACCGAGAAACCGAGCTATTAATTAAATCAACGGTAGTTTCAATTATGGCCTCGATATAATTACAAAATTATCTGGAGAGAGAAATTGTGCAAATTGAGGAACGCACTTAATAAGCGAATTAAGCTCTAAAAGTGATAATGAAATTGTTATTGTTCAGTAAACTCAAAATGAATACGTTAATTTAGTTCTGTTATTTTGAAATTTTTAATGACTGTGATACAATCTGTTTTTAGAAATTAGAACGCTGCGTCAAAGCAGGCCGTTTTAGCCAAATTTACGAAAAAAAAAAACGATCGTTATGGAATTTAGAGAATTATTGCAATTTAACAAGCGCTGCTCGCTAGGTCGAGAACACCGTGTACACGATACGAATTCATTCCATTTAATTGAATTATTGATCGTGCGCGATAAAAGCGAAGTAACAAATAAATCAACAACTACGATTGCATTCAACGGTATCAATAAATTAAATTACATGCACCATGTTGTTTCTAAAAGTAAATCATTATCATTAGCCGTCATGCATTCCCAAGAGCAAATCCCTTGAAATGTCTCCGAAGTTTAGGTTTTTTATTAAATCCGAAAGTGTTGCCAGATTTTAATGAAAGTTAAATTTATTTTTATTTCAATTATTATTTTTTTTAAATTTTAATAATTATTCATTTATTTTAATAGAATAAATCTTGGCTTATGATACACATTGAAAAAAATATACTGAATTTTAATAAATAATTTGAATAGTACCAACTAAACATTTACTAAACTGTAAAGACATATTTATTTGATAGGACTATTAATTTAATTTAACCATCATTGTTATTGAATAAATATTTATTTACTATAAATAAATGTTTAGTTAATACTATTTAAATAAATATTTATTAAATTTTAGTACATTTTTTTTCAGTGCACCTAGTCATGATCCGTGCATCGAAACTAGATTTTATACATCAACACCGTTATTTTATCGCTTATGAAGCGCACGAGTGATAGCGTCGAGCGTTTTGTAGTGCGTCGCGTCGCTAGTATTAATAATTTAACGCGCGGTTCTTTTTTTTCTGCAGAAACCAGCGCGTTCGATCGCGGCGTGCGCCACCGCGTCGTAGCAGGTCGAGATGTAGCGTGCGTTCGTTCCTATTCGCGACAGCGGAAGGTCATCGAGGAGACGGTTTGG